GTGTGTGTGTGTGTGTGTGTGTGTATAAAAGTAGAGGGTTGCCTGTGGAGCAGAGCATGTGGATGCCCACCCACTCAGCCACCTCGCGGCCCTCGTCATTTCGCATCAATCCACTGCCCCTCAATATAAATAGGACAGGCATCCTAAAGCTACGCAATATTATGAGAGGCAATGGCATTATGCATCCACCCTGCATGGGTCCCTCAGCCTGAGATATGACTACACCAGCCTGTTTTAATGGCACTTTCCTTCTCACTTGCACACTGCACTGTTGACAGGGCCCAATTCGGATAGTTAATACACATTAAATTGATGTAATACTGTATTTTGCAATGGCTACAATAATACATGACAAGTGAGCACCAACATAAACATTAAACTGCAACTAGAAACCCCAAATTAAAATGTTTAATTTAAAAAATCTAAGGTTTCTTCAGTACTATTTTTGGTTTATTACTGGAACTGTCACACACTGTTAATAGTCAGGTTCCATCATGCATGCTGCAGAAAAAAGAATTGTACATCTGCAGCCTGAGCAACCGTTCTGTCTGTTATTTGAAAACCACATAAGCCGGATGCTACCAGCTCATCAGCCTGGTCTGATGAGTACTTGAGGGGGTGCGATGAAAGTTACGTGTATTATTTTACCTGTAGAAAGTACAAACTGAGCTTAATATTGAAGGCAAATGTATCTGAGCTGTAAGGAATGGAGAGCGATGCACTAAAATCAGAGTATACTTCCACACGCTAGGTTCCCTGTGGCGTCACAGAAGCTTCACACTTCATTACTGCAAGGCCAGCGACGTGTGAAGCCATTATGTAGGAGCAGTGGGAAGGTGTGTGCGTCTATGTGTATGCGTTGGGGGTACAACCAGGAGCTGTGGGGTGTAGGTGCATGTGTGTGTGTGTGTAAGGAGGATGAGTAACTAATAACCCCACTCGGACAAAGTGGCTTCTGTTAGCAGCATTAAGCTATTCACATGGAAACATTATTTAATATATTCAAACAGCTGGGAGGTGTTGTCTCTTGTCCCAGTGTCAAATGAAAGAGGATGAGCAAACAGCTGGCAGGGCATTTTCTTGCTCCAGAGCTCTGCTTACAACTACACTTTAATAAACCGAGAGTGGTGCACATGCACGGAGCAATTTGAAATAAATCGCACTAAGTAATCTCCAAACTACTGTCATGCAACCGAATCCAAGACTTAGCTAGACAAAAACCTGTGTCCTCTACTTCCACCCAGTGGCCAAAAGCAGAATGTCACACTTGTTATTGCTATTCTCGACAGTAGCACATCTGTGTTTCATTGCACAGGCAAGGACTCAGGTAATGTGTGGTGAATGCTAAAAATAAATGTGACCTAAAACGGCCTACAGCAATGACTCAGCTATTGCTAACACTCAAACTCAGAGCCAATGAGACACTGCAGGTTTACCAATACAAGTTAATCATCAGAGAAGTATTCCCCCTCACTCAGTGGAAACAAAGTGCTTATCAGTAATCCGAAATGCTGTAATGATCATGATCTGCCAAAGGCTGCCTGACTGCTAGCCTCCCACTGAATTTTAACAGAATATTGTTGATTATTTTGAAATCAGCATTTCATTAAACTAGTACTGGCATGCCTTATGGTGCTTGAAGCCTCCGAGTGTACTTCTGTAAAATATGGAACAATCAAACTTTAATATTCAATCAAGGATTTGGGGGGGTTGTGGTGGTATCCCAAGGCCCTTATGTGCCTGCCAATGCTTGGCATTTAGCGCTGATTAAAAATTTGGCGACTGAAATTAAATTAACCACACAAGTAATCACTGTATTAAAAAGTTGCCACAGACATGTTCATTCAAAGAGAAGGTTTACAAGCTCATAGATTCATGTGTTGAACTTCAGCACTCAGACTGAAGTTGAATATAAGACTTTTAAAGACCTAATTTGAGACAAATGTCAAGTAGGCTGCATCATATATCGAGTCGTATCAGCATTTTACAAACTATGCATGCCGCCAAAACATTTATCTTAAAAAACAGGTATTGTAAGTCATA